GGAAAAATTTAAGTAAACAAAACAGTAAACAGATATTTGAACTAACAGTAAACAAGTTGTAGCATAGTCAGGAAAGTTGGCACAGGGCTCTGAGTGTTCGTATGTCATATAATGTGAATATGGCCATTTTATGTTCATTAAATATGTATAACATCAACCATTCTCAATCTCATAATTAGTCTGCCTCATACAGAGCTGGATCAGACCAAAGATCCTGTTTATACAATAGCACAAGGTTGAGAAACATTTACATAATCCTGTGTCTGAATCTGATAGCTCCTTGGATCTTCATATACTCCTTGGATCTTCATAACATTAAGGTGTGAGTAGAAAACACTCCTTTCTTTAGTGAAATTGTTGCATTAAATGTAACTTATTGGGAATGGCAGGTGGCAGTTACCTTTTCGGCAAGAAATTATATACCCGGGTTATTCATTATTTATTTAAATATGGTTGGTTTATTTCAAATGAACAGCTGGCAGCCCACATGGCTAAATTGTGTGTTCTTATATGTACATAGATCATAAATAACACTTGCACAGTATAATACTGTCTAAAACCATAATCAACATATTCAATTAGTGAAAATCTATGGTATTGAGACTGACATGTTTTGTAACACAATATATGGAAGATTCGAATGAAAATATATGGAATATTCTAATAAAAAACGTCTTAACTTTGAGTTGTGTGAGATGTAAAGGGTTCTCTTAAAGTCATAACATTAGTTGGGCCGGGTAAGGGACTATACATTCTATATACATGGGGACTATGTCAGCACACAACATTCCTCCCCTCCAGGATTTCAAAGACCATTTTTCAGGCAGTGACTCCAAGGCTTTCTCACGATTTTATAGACTGCCTACCTAATGTACTGAGACTTCCCCCAGACAAATCATCTACAGGTTATTATTTTATTTGAGCTTTTATAACTATCTATCGTTGAGATTCTACGTTTAGTGTGATTTTACATTTGTTGCAAACTGCTACAATTAGAGCGATTTTAGAATTGTACTTGTTTTGATAATTACAGTCAAAATTTATTATATTCCAATGATAGATTGTAAATGAGCGTGCAATTCAGCCACCAGGCTGCAATATGTTTTTGTGCATATAACCCCAATTTCCAAACCAATTTTCAATTTCCAGGCTTGGTTCAGGTGGTGATTAGTCGATCGTGGACTCGTTAACACGTAGTTTCCTCATTGCCGCCGGGCTGTTTTATAGTTATTTACTACACGTAAAACATGCTTTGATTCCGAGGTCGATATAGGGTGTTGGAAGCATAATTTTCGAAATGGTGGGCCTTGTGAGGTCGTGTGTTGTAACGACAGAGAGCTCTACTCGGAACCAAGAGGTCCCGAGTTCGAGTCCTGACATGCCACCGATCTTGTGCCATTGGGAAAGGCACTTTACACGACTTTCCTCACTTAACTCAAGTGAAAATGAGTATTGTCCTCTCCTGTGTTTGTTCTCTGTGTTGGTGGCGGCATAAAATAAGTTGATGTAATTTGAGTGTGCCGTCACCGTGTTAAGTCATTAAACGTTAGCATGTAAGAACAGGGAAATGGTGGGCGAAATGTCATCTTGTTCTCATTCTGGCTTTGTCAACAGAGTCAAAATGAACCAATCCACCAGAGGAGAAAACAATCCGGTAAATCTTACAAACCATCCAGAGGAGCCGACAAGCTCAGGCCCTGACCAGGATGTGCTGTACACAGAAAGCACAACAGAGGCAACAAGAATGTCCAGATGCGGCCAAGACACTCCCAGTATTCAAGGAACAGACATGTTGGAGGCTACCTATGCAGCTGGCAATGAATCTAACCGCACGATCACGAATGAGAATTATTATATGGCAGATCATAACGATGTTTCCGACCCCGAAGCAGCCGATGTATACAATGTATCTGATACGATCGGCGCTGAAAACATCATGTACTCTGCTTCAAGAGAAAATGAAGATGGTAACGCGATTGGAAACATTAAAGAGGAACCCAACGTCGTGCGAACAGACAGCACAGTGACTATGAACTGCAGCACCTACAGAAATGCTAACAAATCTCTGCCTGACACCACAGGAGACGAAGTTAATAGCGAGACTAGGCACGAAGACTTGTCTAACGAGGGTGACATTGAACCTCATGCTGTTGAAAACATAAGCGAAGAACCCCAACTCCAGCAGGCAGACGACGATGCCGACATCGAACCTTACGCTGTTACAGGCATGTTTGATAATGAAACCTATCTCAGCGCAACAACAAACACTCGCCAACAGGCTTCAGACGGCTCCAGCCATGACACCACCGCACACGTACACAGGCTTCGCAATCCTCCAAATGCAAGAGAACTTCATCGGAACCCAATGTACAATTCAAACGTCCAACAGGCAGATAAACCTCACGGTAAGACGACGGAAATAAATTTGACACTGTTGAAATCTAGGTGTATCCTGTTCAATTAAACATTTTGTAGTAAATGTTGTCATAATTTGTAACAAGCATAATCCCACAATATACGGGAACATTTTTTCTGAGCCAAAGTCTGGAAAAATATATTTGTCTCTTTCCTGCAATTTATGGTTGATAGTAATGAAATTATATTTTTACGCCTGCAATTTGCCATGTTTAGGGCAGGGACCAGCATAAGGACATTCCATTGGAAATCTATGCTAAAACCACTAGAAAGAAGCACTTTAAAACACAGTTACCTTTATTTCAAACCTCAAGTATTTACCCCCACTGCAAAGCTGGATTTGTCAGGTGTCCTTTGGTACAAATAGAGGAAGTTCAACTCCAGGGTTTTAATGATCTACAGCCAAATGATACCAGGATTTCACCCCCTGTCAAAGTGGGACAGTCCGCACAGAGAATAAGTATTTAGAGGTCAAAAACAGGTCAAACAATGGAGAAGGTCACACTTTTTGGCCGTATGTTAAAAATATATATTCTTCTGTCGTTCTTAGCAGAAAACTAGGCCTTTCTGAGCAAAATTTGCCCAGGAAAAAATTATCTAAAAATAAGTCCCAAAATATATCGTGTACACAATGCTAGTTCTGCGCATGGTGATTTGCTGGTCCCCCCCCCTCCTTTAGCATGGAGAGGTTAGATTTAAGTGCATTTAACTCTTTATTATCATTTAAATTTGTTAGTCCATTCATACACTTTTTAAATTTTTTTTCTTGTTTCATATCATCAGCAGACTAATTTTATTTGCCTTCTTTTGATTTACAAATTTGGATTAATATACATAAAAATTTAAACAGGCTGTTTTACAGTGAATCGACGTTGCTTTCTGGCTATTTTTATGGTTACCCTGCTTGTGGTGGGAGCAATCACTGCAGGAGTCACCATAGGAGTTTATTACAGCGACCAAGTCCTGCAAAAGGTAAGGTCAACATCTTTGACAGGGCCCAATTTTACACTTTATGTTTCATTCATGTATTTTTCTTATCAGGCAACCTAGAAAATTACCGACTCCATAAGCAGGGCAAGTACACAGAAAAAAGATTTGGGTACACAAGAGCTTGTAAAATGTCGTTGTAGCTGACAAAATCTGAGACAATACTAAAATACTAAAAATGTTTTATTACTTCAATCAATCAAATCAATCAAATTTCATTCAGTAAGGCTCTTGCGGGCGAATACCCGAAT